ACCTGGCCAACTGCTTGGAAGAAATTAATCTTTTTGCTCATTCCAAAGAGAAATAACCCAACAGAACATGGAAATCATTGAACACTGCTTTGAATATCACATGCAAGTAAACTTTTGCTGAAGATCATTTTAAAAAGGGTTGAATCAACAGGCATCTGGAAGAAATTTGAACCAGATTCATAAGAGGATATGGAACTAGTGATTATCAGTGCTAACGTCTGATGGGTCTTGTCTGAAAGCAGAGAACAACAACAACAAAAAGATGTTTACTTGTACTTTATTGTCTATACACAGACTTTCAACCGTGTGGCTCCTGCTATGGATAACATTGAGAAGAATGAGTAGTCCCAAACACTTCATTGTTCTCATGAGGAACCAACCTATGCACAGACCAAAAGGCAGTTACTTTAACAGAGCAAAGGGATACTGAATGGTTTAAAATCAGGACAGGTGTGTATCCTTTCAGCATACTTAGTCCATCTGTATGCTAAGAAAATAACCTGAAAATCTGGACTATATGAAGAAGAACATGGCATCAGGATTGGAGGAAGACTCATTAACAGCCTACCATATGCAAACGATGAACCGCATCCACGGCACATAACCAATATGCAGATGATACAACCTTGTTTGCTGAAAGTAAAGAAAACTTAAAATACTGACTGATGAACATCAAAGCCTACAGCTTTCAGTATGGATTGCCCCTCAATGTAAAGAAAACAAAACTCCTCACAACGGAACCAATAAATAATATCATGATAAATGGAGAAAAGATTGAAGGTGTCAAAGACTTCATTTTGATTGGCTCCACAATTCCATTGATTCTAAAAACAAATGCTTTGCATCATGAATGTTGAATGTTATATAAGTGCCACTCATGGAAACAGCAGTCAAGAAATCAAATCATATATTGCATTAGGCAAATCTGTTGCACAAGACCTCTTTAAAGTGTTCAAGAGCAAGTATGTCAGTTTGAGGACTAAGGTGTGCCAGACCCAACATGGTATTTTCAATAGCTTCACATTCATGTGAAAGTTGGATACTGAATAAGGATGATCATAGAAGAATCAATGCGTTTGTATTATGGTATTAAAGAATAGTAAAAAGTACCACGGTCTGCCAGAAGAGCAAACATATCTGTCTCAGAAGAAGTGCAGTCGGAATGCTCTTTAGAAGCAAATATAGTAACACTTCAGACATACTACCAGAAAGGAGCATTCCAGGGAGAAGGACATTGTGCATGGTAAAATGGAGGGTCAGCAAAAAAGAGGAAGACCCCCCCAATGAGACTGAGTGATACAGTGACAGAAACAATGGGCTCAAGCTTGTGCATCAGTTCACTACGAGTCAGAAATAACTCAATGGCACCTAACACCAACAACAATCTCTCTTTATGTTGTTGAAAAATGTAATTCCTATTAATGGGTCCTTGATCTTGCAAAGTTCTACCATGCCATCATAGGCTCGCTATGAGCTGGGATTGACTTGACAGCATCCAAGAAAAGCAGCAGAAAATGTCATTAACCATTAGAAGAAATTTGTCATTTAATTTTAAGAACACCCAGATGTAGTATATAGAATTCTTCCAAAGGAGAAGAAACAAGCCACAAAAGATGGTTGGTTTTTTTTTAATATGCCTAAAAATCAGCAAACAAACAAGTTATTACTTAAAAACAAGAAAGCTGCCTTCAACAATATTTTCCTTTAAAATTGTAATTTGCTGAAGCATTAAAAACCTACAAGAAATTGTTTGTAACAACTGTTGTTTATTGAGTAGACTAACATAACGAACACCCATAAATTCACCATACAACCTAAAACCTACAACATTAGCAATATTCCAACTTATGTGCCAGGCTCTGTATTCATCATCTTGGTACTAAATAGCTGACCATTGACGTAAATGAACCTTTTATTCCATTGATTCTAAAAACAAAATGCTTTGCATGTTATATAAGTGCCACCATGTGACTGGTTGGTCAGTGTACAGTTCTTTCAGCAACTTGAAGCAGGATGTGATTCACCGGAAATCACTGGGGAAATAAATTAACTAAGGGAAGGCATCCACAGTGAAAGCAGCCCACCATGTCCATGAGAGCACATTTCAATATAACTGCCTGAGGAGCAGAGACTTTCCCAGGTGGAGAGACTTTGTCTCACAAAGCCACCTGCCCATACCCTAAAGCCCAATCCTGGAGCACTTTAGAGATGTCCATTGTCCCCTTAGTAAAACTTGCTTAAAATTGTCTTTCAGACACTCATGAGGCCAGACCAAACTAGGATCTGATCCAGAGCCTGTGCAGTCTCCAAACCTGACCAACTATAAGCTTCCAGTAGGGGTCACTGTCAAACACATCCCATGATGAGTGATGATCAGCATCCCAGAAGCCTTTATAACAGAATCCATCTTGCAAAAAGGCTGTGCTCATCTCCGCTTACCATAACCACACCCAGTCAGGCAAATTTCAGGAAGACCCGCCTGGTTTCTTGTTCCCCCAGTTCTCCCACTGTCATAGTAAAGGGCATTGCTGTCCTGTTAAAGCCTTGCTTGGTAGAGGCATGTATCACTTTTCTTCAAAGACTGCCACGTGTCTCCTAGCCAAGGCACTTTCATCCCTACTACTAAATTCCTTGCTTGCGCGAAAAGACGGCTATTTTGCTTAGTTATTCTTCGGTTGGCCCAGGATCGAACATTGTTTCGTTCTGCTGTGCATGGGGTTGCTGTGAGTCGGTTCCGACTCGATGGCACCTGACAACAACAATTCTTACTTAGCAGACAAAGAACCTTTAAGGAAATCTCTTGAGACAACCTTTCTACCTCAGATCACTTTTCACAATTTCCCAGTAACGTTATGGAAAGTTCTAGGGAAACATACCAAGATAAATCCATTGCAGGAATGAGAGCAAAACTTTACATACTTTTTCCTCAACCTACTCATCATTGCTTCTTGTGGCTTCTCCCTTCCCATCCTGTAACCACCATGTTTATTTATGCAGGTGAGTCTTTAGTCTCCCTGCGAAGTTCTTGTATTGTTGTTGTTTTATCAGTGACCTTATATTTCATTTTTCCAACCCAGATTTTTGTGAAACAAATTCAACATCTATGTTGTTGTTATTGGTACCATCGAGTGGGTACCAACTCATAGCGACCTTATGCACAACAGAATGAAACACTGCCCAGTCCTGCGCCAACCTCACAATCATTGCTACGCTTGAGTCCTATTATTCCAAATAATTTAACACTGTGAAATTGTTAACAGGTAAACAATTACCCACAAAGCGAGGCGCCAAGGGAATGATTAAATGTGTACGTCTCAAAGCAAATGGAATAAAAAAAGTTTTTCTACTCAAAAAGCTCTCAGCTGTGTATGGAAGTCGACATTGGCTATACTGCCTTCATGATTAATGGGGAGCTTCACTTTTCTGGAAAGACGTTTCTTGCGTGAGTGAGTGTAATTTTGCAGAGAAAAGGATAGCTCTGAGCTTTTAGTGGTTCTCACTCACTGCAGTGAGAGTACGTGTACAATTTTGATGATCTGGTATAGGCTGCAAGAGCTTTTCCTAAAAATATGTATATATATATATATATACACACACATTTTGTTCTGAGTAACCCCTAATTGTGAAACCCAATGGGAAATGGGTTGGTGATGGTTACAGAAGAAGTGGTACCTTGGATCCAATTCTTCAATTCTCACTGAACAAATTCTTAATTAATAATAAGTTTTCAATGGTAAAGTATTGTTTTGCTCATTATTTATTTTTAATCTGATAAAATTGCATAAGGTTTAAATATTATTTTATCATGTTGATTAAGATACAACATAATAGTATTCAGAAAGTTGATAAGGGACTAGGTTGTTAACAATTCTCAAAGGTATAATACTTTGTAGGGCTGAGGTCTCCAGAACATTGGCATAGTGAAACACCAGACTTAGACTCTGCTACAAATAAAAACAAAGAGTTTTATTGAATGGTAAAATTCACAAACGCCGAACAAACCAGCACTCAGGTGAGATGGAGCAGCCGATTTCCAAACTTCCAGGTGACAAAAAGGTTTCTATCAGGTGAAAGAACAAAAAACTGCTCAGAGGCAGAAAAGTGAGGTGTGTGGGATATGGCAAAAAAATTACAAGAAGCAGCAGTGACACCAGAGATGGAGGCAGAGATGGGGCCATGGAGAGAGGGAGCAGCTGAGGACTCTAGATTCACAGAAAGAGAAGGACTGAGAACTGGTGGCCAGGAGGCAGACTTGCAGAATTTGCCTTTTGGTGGTATAAATTATTATATATATCTGAGTGTTTAAAAAAAAGAGCTAAAATGAATAGAGAGAAATACTGTTAACTGATGGTACATGGAGGGGATTATAACCATTATAATGAAACAAAGTATGATTTGTTGACTGTAAAACTGATGATCTGCCCTGTAAACTTTCGTTCAATTAACAATAAAAAGAGGTTTTTTAAAATACAAATCGAACCTCAAGGTTAGCAGTTTGAAACTACCTGCTGTTCCATGGGAGAAAGATGAGACCTTCAGCTCCTGCAAAGATTTACAGCTTCGGAAACCCTGTGCAGGGTCACTATGAGTCGGAACCGACTCCATGGCACTTAACAACAATGAGAGTAGGTCATGCATATTACTGACAGAACTTGTCTGCAGACATCCACTGATGGCAGAGATTATGTTTAAGTATGTTTTGTTAGAATAAACCCATGCAAGTATGAACTGGAACCCTAATAGCAATATTTGTTGTTGTTGTTGTTAGGTGCCATCCAGTCAGTACTGACTCATAGTGACTTTATGCACAGCAGAACGAAACTCTGCCCAATCCTGGGCCAACCTCACTATTGTTGCCACGCTTGAGCCCATTGATGCTGCCACTTGGCCAATCCACCTCTCTGTGGGTCTTCCTCTTTTTCTCGGACCCTCCATCCTATGAGACCCTTCTCCAGTGACTGGATGTCAGTATTCGTGTCTGGTTGGGAAACATAAGGCCATTATTCCCATGGGAATAAACCCCGAGGAAGGCTCCCCATCTTCTCCTTGTATATTTGATCAAAGGCTTCACTCTGGGCCACCGTGAAGTGATTTTTCCAGTCTCCAGAGATTCCTGTCAAATACCAAAATAAGTTCCGATCAGATCTGTAACTAGCATCCCAAGGACCTGCCTCACAACATTATTATAGAGACTCAGTGGGAATGTTTGGTAACAATCAACAATGATAACAACTAACAGGCATTTCGTTACTCTTTTGTCACACTTTTCCTTTAATTTTACATGTAGACTTCATTATTAAATCAATATATTTTCAAAATAGGGCTGTGTTTTCTCTTTGCCAAACTCAGCTCTTCAGTGTTTCCCTTAGACCAGCCTTTCTCTTTTTACTCTCCACCTTTGAATCTCTTAGCGCCTAGCTAGTGTTGTTATATACCGTGGAGTCGGTTCCGGCTTATAGTGACCATATACAGAGTTTCTGAGACTGTAAATCTTTACGGGAGCAGAAAGCCTCATCTTTCTCCAGCAGAACAGCTGGTAGCTTTGAACTGCTGACCTTGCAAGGGTATCTCATTTTCACACCTTTCTACCACGTCTAAGATCAAACCCCCTCAATCAATGAAGACTTTAGTCCACATTATTGTTAGGTGCCATGAGTCAGCTCCGAGTCATACCAATCTTATGGCGAGTCCTGTGTCATCTTCACAATGGCTCTGTTACCACTGTGCCAATCCACCCCATTGGGGGTAGTCCTCTTTATGGCTGACCCTGAACTTTACAAAAAAAGAATGTCCTTCTCCAGGGACTGTTCCCTCCTGATATATTCAAAGTTCCAGAGACAAGGTCTCACCATCCTTGCTTCATAGGAGCATTGAGGTTGTACTTCTTCCAACACATATTTGTTTGTTCTTCTGGCAGTCCATACTACTTTTAATATTCTCCTCCAACACCATAACTCAAATGCATCAATTCTTCTATGGTCTTCTTTATTCACTGTCCAACTTTCACATGCATATGAGGCTATTGAAAGTACCATGACTTGGGTCAGTTGCACCTTAGTCCTCAAATTGACATCTTTGTTTTTGAGCACTTTAAAGAGGTCTTGTGTAGCAGATGTGTCTAATGCAATTTGTTATTTGCTTTCTTGACTGCTGCTTCCAAGAGTGTTGATTGTATGTAGATCCGAGCAAAATGAAGTCTTTGACAACTTCCATCTTTTTTCCATTTAACATGATGTTATTAATTGGTCCAGCTGTGAGGATTTTTGTTTTGTTTTTTACATTGAGGTGTAATCCATAGTGAAGGCTGTGATCTTGGATCTTCATCAGTAAGTATTTTAAGTCCTCTTCACAAATTTTGGCAAGCAAGGATGTATCACCTGCATATCACAGATTGCTAATGAGTCCTCTCTCGATCCTCATGCTGTGCTCTTCTTCATAGAATCTAACTTTCATATCATGTGCTCAGCATACAGATTGAATAAGTATGGTGAGAGAAAACAGCCCAGGTACAGATCTTTCCTGATTTTAAAACATTCAGTATCCCCTTGTTCTGTTCGAATGCCTGTCTCTTGGTCTATGTACAGGTTCCTCATGAGCACAATCAAGTGTTCTGGAATATCCATTCTTCGCACTGTTATCCATAGTTTGTCATGATCAACACAATCAAATGTTTTTGCATTGTCAATAAAGCACAAGTAAACATCTTCTATTCTCTACTTTCAGCCAAGACCCAGCTAATATCAGCAATGATATCCCTAGTGCATTTTACGTCCTTTTCTGAATCCTGCTTGAGTTAATGACAGTTCCCTGTTGATGTTGCAACCGTTTTCTGTCTTCAGCAAAATTTTACTTGCATGTGATATTAATGATATTATTCGATGATTTCTGCATTCCATTAGGTTCTTTCATTGAAATGGGCACAAATGTGGAACTCTTCCAATTCCAAATTTCTTCACATAGATGAATGAATGCCTCCAGTTTGTTGAAAGATTTAAATTTGCATCCTGTCAATTCCTGGAGATGTGTTGTTCGCCAAACCTTCAGTGCACCTTGAACTTCTTCCTTCAATACAATATGTTCTTAACCTCTTGAATGGTTGAATTTCAACTACTTCTTTTTCGTACAGTTAATGAATCTGTATATACCTTCCATCTTCTTTTGATGCTTTCTGCATCATTCGATATTTTGCCCATGGAATCCTTCAACATTGTAAGTTGAGGCTTGAGTTTTTCCTTCTTCCACATCTTTGCATATTTCATTTCAGTACTTGAATTTGT